AATGGTGACCTTAAAAAAAAAAAAAAAAAAAAAAAAAACAATTAAACCAACCTTGCATCCTATGGTAAACTTTATATGGCCGTTATGTGTTATTCTTTTTATATATTGTTGGATTCAATTTGCTAAAATTTTCTTTAGAATTTTTGCATTTATAGTATACTTGTCTATAGGGATATTGGTCTATAATTTTAGTTTAATGTCTTTGTCAGGTATAAAATGAGTTGAGATGCATTTCTTTCTCTTCAGTTTTCTGGAAGAGTTTGTTTGTATTTGGTATTATTTCCTTAAATGTATGGTTGAATTCACCAGTGAAGCCATTGGGCCTGAAGTTTGCTTTGTGAGAAAATATCTAACTACAAATTATTTTTCTGTAATAGATTTAGGACTGTTCACATTATCTGGTTTTTTTTTTTTTTTTTTTTTTTTTTTTTTTTTTTCTTTTTTCTTGAGTAAGCTTCAGTAATTTGTCTTTCAGGGACTTGGTCCATTTCATCTAATTTGTCTCATGTATTGGCATAAGTGTTCAGATTATTCCTTTTAATATCTGTGGTATCCCGAATGATACCATCTTATCCCATATGTTGATGATTTGTGTCCTCTCTTGTTTTTTCTAATCAGTCTAGCTAGAAGTGTATCAGTTCTGTTCATCACTAAGTGCCAACTTTTACGTTCAGTGATTTTTGTCTTTTGTTTTATATTTCAATAATTTTTACTCTGATTTTAATTATTTCCTTTTTTCTGCTTACCTGATATTTCAATTGCCCATCTTTTTTGTAATTTTTAAGGGGCTAGCTGAAATCATTGTTTTAAGACCCTTTTTACTGCTTTTGTAGCATTTATAAATTATATGTTATATTTTTATTTTTATTGATATTAAAGTACTTTGTTCCTTGGGTTACTTAAAAGTCTGCTATTTAGTTTTAAAATACTAGAGATTTTACAGAGATCTTTCTGTTGTTGGTTTTTGAGTTTCATTTAATGACTTCAGTCCTTTTAAATTTGTTTAGACTTGGTTTTATGGACTAGAATATGATTTGTCTTTGCATGTGTTTCACAAAACTTGAGAATGTGAATCTGCCACTTTGGGGTAGAGTGACCCATAAATGTTAATTAGGCTAAGTTGTTTGATTATATTATTTATTTTCTTTTATATTCTTACTGAACTTTTACTTGATCTATCAGTTATTGAGAGACAGGATTGAAAATCTCTTGGTTATAATTGTACATTGTCTGTTTCTTCCCCTTTTTTAGAGTTGGTTATAATTGTACATTGCTTATAATCTCTTGGTTATAATTGTACATTATCTATTTCTTCCCCTTTTTTACTTTCTGTATTTGTAGCTCTGTAATTAGATGCATAAAAATTTAGGGACTGTTGGTTTCTCTTAATAAACTGACCTCCTTTATCATTATAAAATGACCCTCTTTATTTCTGGTAATCATGTTTGTTTTGAAATTTGCTTTGGGATTAATATAATCTCTTCAACTTTCTTTTGATTAGTGTAAGCACAGTGTATTTCTGTCCCTTTATATTAAACTACTTTATATTAAAAGTATGTTTTTATAGGCAGCATATGTTTGGATCTTGCTCCCCTCTTCCACCATGGACAGTCTCTGGCTTTTCACTGAGGTACTTAGACCATTTACATTTATTGTGATTATTGATATTATTAGGTTTGAATCTCATCTTGCTACTTATTTTCTATGTGTTTCTTATGTTCTTTGTTCACTTTTTCCTCATCTTCTTACTGCTTTTGCCTTAATTGGGCGTGTTCGATGATTCCATGTTGACTCCTTCTTAACTTTTGAGCTGTAACTTTTGTTAATTTAGTGGTTGTTTTAGGGTTTACAGTATGCATTCTTAACTTACCACAGTCTACCTTCAAGTGATATTATACTACTTCACATATAGTAAGAGAACCTTACAGCAGGATACTCCCATTTTTTCACTCCCAACCTTTGTGGTATTGTTTTCAGACACTTTTGCATATATTTAAAAAAATCCACATTACATAATTATTTTTGTTTTAATAATTATCTTTTAAAGGAATTTAAATAATAAGAAAAAAAACTCTTGTGTATTTATCCATGTAGCTATCATTTCCAGGGCTCTTCATTCCTTTGTATAGATCTAGATTTCCATTTTGGTATCATTTTTTCTTCTGGCTGGAGGACTTCCTTTTTTATATTCCCTGTTGCACAAGTCTTCTGATGCTGAATTATTTCAGCTTTGCTACGTCTGGTAAAGTATTTTGCTTTCATTTTTGAAGTATATTTTGCTGTGTGGATATATTTCTGCTGGAATTGCAGGGTTTGTTTTCTCCTTTAAGCGCTTTAAACACATTGCTTCCCTGACTTCTTATTTGAATTGTTTCCAGTGAGAAATGTGTTGTCTTTATTTCTCTGTGTGTTTTTTTTTCTCTGGGTTTGCTTAAGATTTTCCTTTAATACTGGCGTTAAACAATTTGTTCTATTGTGCTTTGGTGTAGTTTTTATTCATGTTTCTTGTGCTTGGGATTTACTGAAATTCTTTAATCCATGGGTTTGTTGGTTACATGAAATTTGGAAATTTTTAATTCATCTTTCTTTAGATATATTTTCTCTTCCCCCTTCTCTCTCCTTACCTTCATGAAATATAAGTACACATATTTCAGCCTACTTAAACCTGTCCCACATCACTGATTTTCTGTTCTTTTATTCTTTCAGTCTCTTTTCTCTCTTTGTGTTTCATTTTTGATAGTTTCTGTAACTATATATTTAAGTTCACCAATCTTTTCTTCTGTGGTTTCTATTCTGTGGTTCGTCCCATCAAGCGTATTCTTTATCTGATACACTGCAGTTTTCATCTCCAGAAGTTTGGCTTAGGTCTTTTTATATCTTTTTGTCTGTATATTCTACATGTGAATGTCAGGCATTTTTCCCTTTGATTCTCTTCCCAGCCTTGAGTAATATGCACCCTCTGTTCAGTGCTCCACAGGATACTCAAGGCCACCCTCTGCATATCTCCAGGGTTCACTCTGTCTCTCTGCATTTCTCTTGCTTCTGGTACTGTCTTATGAGATCTGGCTGACTTGCTTTCCCTTGACTCTCAATTAGTGGGATCTGCTACACCCTGCCTGGGTTCCTTACTCTGAACAGTAAACTGTTCTAGCAGTAAATTGCCATCTGGGTTTTAATATCTCTCCAAGGGAAGGGTGAATGCTCACTGAAAGCAAATGAGCATGGTGACAGGGGTGGAGGTGGTCTCCACAGGGCATGAGGGGAGTTGTGCTCAGTCATCTGAGAGTGCCGTGTGCTGTCATGGCCAGTGGGCTTGATGCCTCAGTGTCTGGCTTCAGAATATGAGTCTGCTTATCTTCTAAAGCATGTTCTAAAGAGTCATATCCTAAATTAGTTTTGATTTTGGTGGCCTATAACATCAATGTGATATGAATTATCAAGCTCAGTATACGAGTGGAGATACATGTATTCGATTCCCAGTTATTCATGTTTCTTTAAAAACTTTCAACCCGGCAAAATGAGCCTGTGATTAGTTAAGATGAGACAGTTTAAATACAGTAAGAAAACAAATAAAAGGGTATTTCCCAAAGTTAATAAAGTTAAAAGATAAAATGTTTTTAAAAGATATAAACTTTATTTCTCAACATAAGCACCATCAAATTCAAGACATTTTTGTAAGCGCTGATCCCAGCCATTTAGATTGTCCCTGAAGAACTGAACGTCTTGGGAATTTAACCATGTCAATGTGGGCCTTTTTACATTATTAGCGGAAGAAAAATGGTGCCCTTTAAAGACTATCCGAGATTAGGGAACAAAAAGGAAGTCAGAAGGAGCCAAATGAGGTGGATTTGCACCCACCACAAGGTGGATGCCTCTTGATTTTCCATCAAAACCCTCACAAAGTTGGCCTTTTTGATGAGTGGAGTGAGTAGGAGCTTTGTCATGGTGAAGGATGCTCGTGAAGCTTCCCCAGGGGTTTTTCTGCTAAAGCTGAGGCTGACTTTCTCAAAACACTCTCATAATAAGTAGATGTTATCATTCCTTGGCCCTCCAAGTGAACTCAACAAGCAAAATGCCTTGAACATCCCAAAAATGGTGCCGTGGCCTGTGCTTTGACTGACCCCATCTGCCTCTTGGTAGCCTTTTTTTCTTAAGTATGTGTTTTCTTCGGGATTGAAAATGCTTGGTAAAGCTATGTTTATCTCCTGTTTGATGTTTGTTCTTGCTTCAATTTTAGCAGAAGTCATGTAGCTCTGATAGGAGCTCTTTTCAAGCAGACGTCTTGATCTTCTTATGCCTCAAACTAGATCCTATTCAGGCATGTTTCAGCAAGTTAGTACAAGTTTATTTCAAAACAGTTTTGAAATCCATGAAGTATTTTCATTGTACACATTTTCTGTGAACTTTTTCAAGGCTCTTGTGAACCATTTCAGGACACTTGTTAACAACTGGAGTTTCCTGTTGCATTATGGGTGTCACACATGCAAAGCCACGTGACCTGAACATGCCTGGCCTCTCAGTGGCAGGGGAGCATGTGCAGGGCAGGAGCACCAGACATGGGTGAGACCCTGCAGGGAGCAGCCCCACCTGCGCAGCCTCACTGGACCCTGTATTAGTCGCAGAAGTGACTCCCACCCGTGCACCCTCAGGCTGCTAGGGTTCTTAGCTCCATCAGCGCCAGAGTCAGCAAAAACACACTTGGCAGGAAGTCTCATCTTTTCAGGTTTCTGTCAACCTTCTGCCCACCTGCCCTGTCAGACAAATGCGTACCCATGGGTCAGTTCTGCTTTCTCAGCACGGCTCCTGTCCTGGTGGCAGTGGAAGGGTGTGAGGGACGGCCACGGCAGATGCACACCCGAGTCTGCGTACGTTCCCTGGCAGGCAGAATCCCCCACCACGCGTGTCTGTGGCCACGTCTGAGCAGAGCGCGCTGCACCTGGCTGCTCCTTCCCTGGAGCGAATGCGGGCTTCGCACTACCTTCCTGTGTCTTCCGTTTCAGGCATCAGCAATGCAGAAGCACGGCAGCCAGGGAAGGCCCCCAACTTCAGCGTGAACTGGACGGTAGGCGACTCCGCTATTGAGGTCATCAACGCCACGACAGGAAAGGATGAGCTGGGCCGCGCGTCCCGCCTGTGTAAGCACGCGTTGTACTGTCGCTGGATGCGTGTGCACGGCAAGGTACTGAGGTGCCCTCACCGCGATGCGCCGGCTCCACCCCCCAAATAGCTTGTCTGTCCTCACAACTACCGTTCCTTAAACTGTTTCATCGTCATGCCATCATGCACAGCTTCCTAAAACCATCACCGGGAAACCTTTTATTCCTTCAGATTGTTTTAGCTTAGAAGTGTGGCCACGTTCCTCCAACCTTAATGCCGTCAAAGGCAGCTCTTTCCTCCCTGCTGCAGGGTCAGACTCCCTGCCAGACCCGTGCATGGTGGAAATGTCTCTTAATCTCAGATATTGAAAGTCATTATGCAAAACGGAGGGCCACTCACCCTGCTGTCCCCTCCTTCTCAGCAACACAGAAATTGATTGGATTCTGACAACCCTCCATGAGAGTTTTGAACTAGCTATGAGGCCCCTTTTTCCCCAGGATAAAACCTTATATAGTAAATCAGGATATTACTAGTTTTTATTTATTCTTCAATCAAGTAGGTAGCATCTGTTTATTCTGAGACCAGCATTGTGCACTGGCATGGGGGGTACAGCCAGAAGTGACAGTGCCCGGGAGGGTCCTGTTCACACAGGGACAGCCCCTGGGCCAGCTGCTGTAAGTCCAAGGTCCGCCCAGAAAGGAGTCAGCAGGGAAGGCCTCTGTGGTCAGCAGGGTGATAAGACACACAGAACATCAGTGGTGCTTCTTATAGTGAAAAGTGAAACTTGAATCGACTATTGGTGGTTTCCAGAGGCACATCTTCAGAACTCGGGGGTCTGTAGCTGCCTGTTTGACCAGCAAGACCAAAACTTGGTGATGGTAACTCAGCCCTTAGGAGACGCCACACCTTGTTGTGTGTGAAGCCATTCCCTTGGCAGAGAGCGCCTTCCTCTGGGTTGCTTTCCCCTGAGAAGCCAATGCAGTTCAAAAGGCCATTTTTCTGGCATCTTAGGTGTTATTTTCATCAGTTACTGCTTCCACAGTTGAATTTGTTTTTTATCCCTTCACAGGTTCCCTCCCACTTACTGCGCTCCAAGATTACCAAGCCCAACATGTACCATGAGTCCAAGCTGGCGGCAAAGGAGTATCAGGCAGCCAAGGCGCGTCTGTTCACCGCCTTCATCAAAGCGGGACTGGGGGCCTGGGTGGAGAAGCCCACCGAGCAGGACCAGTTCTCACTCACGCCCTGACCCGGGCAGACATGATGTGGGGTGCAGGGGGCTGTGGGCATCCAGCGTCGTCCTCCGGAACCTCACATCTGAACCGGGGGCAGGTGCATACCTTGGGGAGGGAGTAGGGGACAGAGAGGACCACCAGGTGTCCACTGTCGTCCCCAGCATCTCACGTCAGACCTGGGGCAGTACGCAGTGTGGGGAGGGGACGGGTGCGCTGGGGCCCAGTCTCGCCACCTAGCATCTCTCTGCCACAGTATTTCCCCTTCTGAACCGTCCAGTGACTGCTTTCAATCTCAGTTTACGTTTAGAAATTGAGTTCTACTGAGTAGGGCTTCCTTAAGTTTAGGAAAATAGAAATTACTTTGTGTGAAATTCTTGAATAAATAATTTATTCAGAGGTAGGAATGTGGGTTATAAAATAAGAAGTAATTATGTCAGGTCACTTTTAGGCCACATTATTTCAACTGCAAAAAAGCATCTATATATGGAGGAGGGTGGGAAATAGAGGTAGGAAGTAGTAACCTAAAGGAAGTTGCCACACGTTTGTCTAAACTTAGGTCTCTTTTCTCCATAGGTACCTCCGTGGTTAGTTTCACACACTAGGTTTTCACAGTCTCTCCCCAAGGAGCAGACTCCCAGCATGATGTAGCGTGGCCCTGTCACGCACATGGGGTCCCACAGTGGTGACTGTGTCCTGCAGAGTCATGACCCAGGACCCTGTAGCCCTCAGCCTCCTCTAGAAGCTTCTGTACTCGTTGTAGGATCAGATCATGGAAAACTTTTCTCAGTTTATTCTAAGTAATCACAGATAAAACGTGGCCAGTAACCCAGGCTGGCCATTAATTCGGGTTTTTTAAACGATACTTAAACTTTTATGGACTAGAAGGGATCAGGAGGGCTGCTGCACAGCACATGGCCTAAGTTCCCTCTCTTCCTTGCTCCGAGTTGAATGGATGTGAGTGACTGCCCAAAGACCTTCACAGGATGGAAGGAGAAGGATTTCAGTAGATATCATTCCTGGAAAATGCCGTAGAAGGCATGTTTCAAAATTATTGTTTCCAGCTTTGTCTAAGACATGTTTGAAAAATAAAAAGTGTCCAGGTGAGAGCTGGTGAGACCAAGTGCTGCTGGCATAATGTAGACCAGAGGCTGACGGTCCCGACGGGTGCTCAGGGCCGCCCGGCACCCGCAGTGCACAGAACGGCCCCGCGGCAGAGGGAGCCAGCCCAGGAGGTCAGGGGCGCGGCGGGCAAGGGCCCTGTGTAGACCACCTCCGCCCAGCTCAGAGATTTGCACCAGTTGCCTTGTTGCCTCCGCTCAGGATGAAAGAGGAGCCAAGAGAAGTGCCCTGCCCATCAGTGCAGTGCCCAGCTCCAAGGTTCTGGAGGGTGCTCAGCTGGGTCTCCTGGGGCCATGGGCAGAGATTGGTGCAGACTCCACCCTACAGCATACATTTGCCACAGCAAAGTCCAGGGTGATGACGCCTGTGTGTCCATGATGAGCCTAGGAAACCAGAACAGGTGCAGAGGGGCATCCTCCTCCCCCTAGACCCGAGAGCTCAGACCTGAGAAGGGGAGCACCATGGCTTTGGCGGGGTGTGCGCCTCCCGATGTCAGGAGCCCTATCTGTGTGTGTCCACACAGATCTCGTCCCAGCATGGCAGGAAGGGGTGCTGCTTAGGGCTCGTTGTTGGGGACACGACCAGGTTCAGAGGCACGAACTTCTGCCCCACACCAGCCTTCTCCTCTACCGAAGAGGGTAGTTGTCTCCTTGAACCAGTCAGAGTGGGCATTGCAGGCCCCTCCATCACAACAGTGGGGTCTTATTTAGGCAGATTGTGTGGGGGTTTCTGTACCTGCAGAAGGAAAGGGGTCTTCGCTGGCCTTCCCCCAAGCAGGCTCTTGCACATTCTAGATAAAACACCGTGTAAGTCTGTGCGTTTTTATTCTTGTCTTGATAAATTGTATTTTTTTCTAATGGGGATTGGGAGATGGACTTAGTTTTTAAAAATATGTGGATTTTGGTTACAAAGTTTACTGTTAATATATTCCATTTACATACAAAACTACCCAGTATGTCTGGCTTTTCCTTTCTGTCAGGAAATAGCTAAAATGAGCATGATTGCTCCCTGTACCACCCCAAATAAGTGAGGGCCTCACCTTGTGGGGCCTGAGCAGGTGCCTTGAGACCCTAAGGCGCACCTTTCCTGGGTGGACAGGCAGGCACAGGGCGTCCCACCCCAAGCCGTCCAGGCAGGAGGAAGGCAGCCAAGGTGACTGGGTTCAGGGAGGCCTGGGCAGGGCAGCTTCGGGGAGGAAGCTGGTGTGCAGGAGCCACTGTCCTGGCCAGGGGACCAGAGGCTTTGTAGTGCTCCTAGGACAGTGCATCTGTAGTCAGAAGAAAAGGAAAAAAAAAAAAAAAAAAAAAAAACAGAATGCTGGCTCCTCTCTGAGACAGATGAGGAAACTTAGCACTTTAATCTCCCTTCAGAGCGCTCATTGTGCATTAGACTCTAGCTGTTCCACTGAGGTGTCATTTTGCATCCCATGTCCTTGATGTGGGTTTTAGAGACTTAGCAGAAAATTTGACACAAGCAGGAACTTGTTTTTTTTTTTTTAAGAAAAGTCTTAAATTTTGAGGACATTTTGACAAGTAGGGGAAGAGGGGGCTTCTGTTTTGTTTTGTTAGCTAAACCTGAAGTATTAATTCCACAAACACACTGTCCCTCGGGACCACTCAGGTACAGCTCTGCCAGGGACAGAGTCCTGCTGTTGGGAGGTCAGTGCTGCAAGGGTCTCAGGTGGGTGGTGTGTTCTGTGCCATGAGGAGTGAGAGGTCTAGATGGACGTCGCCACCTTCCTCCGCACTCATCACCCGGTCATACGCCAGGCCCACCTCTTCCCAGCAAGGGATGCCAAAGAACCGCCGTTCTGATTCTGCGTCTTCACTTAGCTTTTCATCATCTTTTCCTGTTTTGGAGAATTTTTTGTAATTAAAAGCAATTACTTTAAAATGCACTAGCCACTATCTCACAAGGCATGGTTATCTCTGGATTTTTTTTTTTTTTTTCAAATAACTGTATTTATCTCCAGGCTGTGGAACCGCTGCTGCTTTCTTCGTGAAGACAATGTCTCTCCCTGTAATCTCACACAAACACACTGAGGAGGGGATGGCTCCGTCTTCACATTGTACGCAGATCTGAGGATGGGGTTAGTGAAGCTGTGGGGACGGCACACCCGGATCTGCCCATGTCTCAGAGCATGGCAGTGGCTCCTTTTCCTTCTAAAATACTTTATCCCAGAAGCAGGTCGTCTGCCCCAGGCTTAACTTTATCCAGAAAAAGAAGGAAAATTGGCCATCTTTCCCACCTCTAGATTCTGTGAAATTATACACTCGCTCAAAAGATTCCTTCTTATCAACCCCACGCTGTGTAAGTGGAAAGGGCAGAGTGTTTGTGTACCGTGTGTGTCCAGTTTACAGTGTCCCTGCCCCTTAGTGTGTTGTGTGACAATCTCCCTGGGTGAGGAGTGGGTGTACCCAGGCCCAAGGCCGGTGGGTCACTTGGTGCCTTCCATGTGAGTACTGGTGTTCACTTGATGCCGGGGAATAGAATTAGAGAAACCTCTGACCCGCCGGGTGCCAGGGACCGGTGGAGGTGGATGGCAGGTCCGACTTGACCGTAACCTTTAGTGGTAAGGGTGTGTTGGCTTTTTCAGTCTCTTGTGAAAAGTCTCCTGTCTCTGGCAGCACCGTCTGCACTTTCTTGTTTAATGTTTAAAGGGACAAGTACCAAGCCCCAAGAATACTTACTTTGGCCACAGCATAAGCTGATGGTGTGTGAGGAACCGATGGGCCATTAAACATGAATGGAGCCGTGAAAAGCACAGTCTATGGACATTCATGGAGTAAGCCCCTAAAGCTGTTTGCTTCTTCAGGCTTTAGGTTACATGCTTTTAATTTGGTTTTAGAATCTGGACACTTTCTATGAATGTAATTCGGCCGAGAAACTTGTTGCTAAGATGCAATCCTCAGTGTTCTCTGTATGTATATTTGTGTATACACCACACGTTACAACTGCATGAGCTTCCTCTCGCACCGAGACCAGCCGGAACTGAGCATGAGACGCTGTCAAATACAGACAAAGGATTTGAGTCAATAAAAAAGAAAATGTTTCACTACTCTAGTGTTGCCGAGATTTTCGTTTCCTTTCAAATTATTTCTGCCCTTGACTCCACTAGCAGACCTGGGGATGGATGTTCACGTGCATAACCTGAAAGGTGGCTGTGTGCCCCCCGAGAGCTGCAGGTCCGACCATCTGATCTTGTCACCTGCTGTGCTTGCACCAGTGCTACTTGCATTTCCCCAACTTGGGACAGTCTCTCCTCAGTCCCCTCCCCACCCCCCATTAGATTCTTGACTTCACTATCTTCCTGGAGAGCATGTTGGCGCCTCTCCCATATATGGTGGTGTAGAGCATGTTGGCACCTCTCCTGTATATAAGGTGGTGTGAGGAAAAGTATGCAGCTGCCCCGCCTTCACCCTGCATACAGAATGATGATACATACCCACATTACTCTTTACCCTCACGTTACTTGTGGATAGAACACAGGAAGAACCTACGTACTCAATAAGAGGCAATGGTGACACAGGGGTGCTGCGGTGCAGTGAAAAAAGCAGGTGCTAAGTGCCCCGTGGAACCATGCCGTTTCTCATGACAGCACTGGAAGGACAGTCGCCATGAAGTAGAAAGTTGGCAGCAAAGCGGCATTCCTGTGTCATGGCTGTAATGCAGTGCACGTATGCTTCATGTACCGTACAGGCAGAGGTGGGTCAGCCTGGCTGAGGAGGGAGTCTGGCTGTAGTCTGTGGACATGGGATTTGCGGTGGTTTTGACTTTGTGTTCCTATTTTAAAAGTATATCCATTTGTCTAATATTTCTACAATTAAATGAAAAATTTAGGAAAATACTTTGAAAAGTCGAAAGCACCATACAAATAAAAAACACCACTATTACAGACAACTTGGTTTTCTTATTTGCATCAATTTTGAAACTATTTCATTTTTCCCACAATAAAAATGTTAAAATATGTTGCAGCAAAAACAAGCTTCAGAGAAAAGAATGGAGGGACCCCTCTCAATGACAAGTGAATCCTTAGGATAGCGATTCTCCGGGAGCTGCCTTGGGTGCTACACTGGATGGAATATTCGGACTCAGTATTCTGTCATGGAATTGGGGAAATGTCCTGAATTTTACCAAGGAAGATGAAAGTTTTGCTTTTTACAAGACTGTATAGTCTCATAAATCTCCTGGAGCGTGACTGTAATCATTGAGATTCTTGAGCGTTTGCTCAGTCCTTGTGTAATGAAGGCCAACCCAGATTGCACTGTTCCAGCTGCTTGGAACAGGTTGGTGAACACAACAGAGACTGAGTCCCCCAAACAGCTGCTGCTCTGGAGGAGAGCAAATTAAACACACCAGATGCCAGTGTCAGGGAATGTGCCGGGGAAGAAAGAAAAAGCAGGTGAGGGTTGGGTGCTGTGGCTCACGCCTGTAATCCCAGCACTTTGGGAGGTCAAGGTGGGCAGATCACAGGTCAGGAGTTCGAGACCAGCCTGGCCAACATGGTGAAACTCTGTCTCTACTAAAGATACAAAAAGTGAGCTGGATGTGGTGACAGATGCCTGTAATCCCAGCTACTCAGAGGCTAAGGCAGGAGAATCATTTGAACCTGGGAGGTGTAGGTTGCAGTGAGCCGAGATTGTGCCATTGCACTCCAGTCTGGGCAACAGGGTGAGACTCCATGTCCAAAAAAAGGAAAAGAAAGAAAAAGTAGGTGAGGATAGTGCAGTTGGTTGCAATGGTAAGTACTGGGATCAGGGTGGGCCTCACAGAGAAGGCTTGCCAGGCAGATGGTCAGCCAGAGGGAGCACTGGACCAGGCATTGGTGTGCCAGAGGCTGCAGCACCAGGAACTTGGCCAGCCAGTAGGCGAACACAGCTGTTATTTACAGTTACATTTTATAAAGTTAGAATTATATTAAAAGTAACAAATACTCAAAACTCATCCCTTCCTACTTTTTGCTGTATTTTACTGCATACTCTGCAATGGTGGGCTGCATTTGGGGACTCACACCAGTAGCTTGGAATCAATTCTGGTGGGAGGTTTCACACCAGTGATACCCACAGACATTGTGACTCAGAGCTTGATTCACTGTTGTGATTGTCTCTAGACCAAGAAAGTGGTGGAGGAAGATGCCGATCATACTTAAAATGTAGCTTTTGCATTGTGAATGGTACAGAAAATTGAAGAAATCGTCTCACAGCCTCTGGAAACTTTATTGCTGAAGCAAAGAAGTCACTGATTCATTGAACGAGTGAAGCTCTGACATTCACCTTGCAGCTTCACCTTCATCTGACTCCTAAGTGAAAACATCCCAGCATTTCTGTCAGAACCACACTCGTTCATCCACTGCAACCCTACGTCGGCCTCAGATGTAGGGCTCAGCAAGATTCAATGAAAGCATTCCATAAGAACTGGCTTTGTGGGATTTACAACAGTGTTGTATATTTTATTAGTATTTTTAAACTGCATGCCACTCCTTTTTATCTGTAGCATGTACATAAGCTGATGTACACATATATGTGCATACATTAGGACAGGGTAGCCTGTTTAGCATTTACGAGCACACCACTGGGTTCCAGATGTCCTTGGGAACAGATCAAGGCAGTGCAAAGGCCCTGTGCTGGTGAGGCTGAGTTGGTGGGAGCTAATCAGCCTCTGGCAGGTGCCTCCCCCATCCCACCCTCCAGGACTGGTAAGATTGGTCTGTCTGATACAACTGCAAGAGAACAAAGTGTGGGACCAGAGCTGAAGGATGAGGAGTGAGTGTGTTTCTGCTGGCCCCCCTCCCCCATGCCCTCCGGCACTGAGGTCCTGCCTTCTGTACACACAGACCTGGCCTGGCAGCCAAAGCCTCCAGGGAAAAATGACCTCATAAGGAGAAATGAGAAATCTGAAGAGCACAACTATTTAAAGCTCAAAATGAATAGAGATTCTATTAGAATAGATCCTAGCATTTTAGAACAGTCGTGGAATTAAACATTCTAAAAGAGATCAGAAAACAGAACCAAGCAGAATCTGAAAGAGTGAACACAACTGATGAGATAAATAATGAAATAAATTTACCATTGGAAGACCACATGGAAAAGGACAGGGCAACAAAAAAGAAAATACGGAAACACTAAAATGTTTGGCTGATAAAAGTGCTAACATCTGGCTAATATGCTGTTCATGGATTTTGTCACACCCACAAACTGAAGGCATCCCAGAGGAAAGGACGTGTCTGAGTCAGCCTTAAAACATGGGCAGGGAGTTCCATTAATAGAGACGACGGGAAGATTTGTATGAAGTGGTACTGGACAAGTGTTGGTCACTGTTGGAGCTGGTACACAGGAATTCGTTACACTGTTCTCTCTAATTTTATGTTTTCACATTTTCATAAGAAGATTTAAAAAGTGCTAGCATGGGCTTTTTAAAATGCCGTTTCTTTGGTACTCTGCTCATGGGATTTTTTTTTTTTTTTTCACGCAAAAGCAACAACTTTTAATGCTGTAAAATGTAAATTGTCCAAATTAAGGAAAATAAGGAAATATCAGGAAGTTTTGAAATTGCAATCATTTACTTCCCTAGAGAGTCATTTGAAATGTGTTTTTGGCATTTGAAATGCCTGTTTAGCATTTATGAGCACACCACTGGGTTCCAGATGTCCTTGGGAACAGATCAAGGCAGTGCAAAGGCCCTGCGCTGGTGAGAGGCTGAGAGTTGGTGGGAGCTAATCAGCTCCTAGTTTTTGTGGAAACAAGTATTTTATAGGTCCACTGAATCTGATGTTGTTCTCACTGCTTGATTTTCCTTCCTAACACTGAATAACAACGTTCACATTTATTTGTCCCACTATGAAATGCAAACATCAGGGGGTGAGAAGCACTGGTTTGTTCATGGCTTTTCACTTGGCACAAGCCTGCTATGCTGCAGACATATAATAAATAGGTACTGAATTAATTCTAAAAGTTCCCAGGCATACCATGTTTCAGAGCTTTGCCACCTGGAAAGCAGGTTTGCATGACATACTTACATTGAGAAACAAAATTTAGGAAGTCTTATAAGAGGATTACAACATAAAAATCAGTACTTTGGTAAGTCTCTGGTGGTTCTTAAAAAGCTAAAGTCAGCCTGGACATGATGGCTCATGCCTACAATCCTAGCACTTTGGGAGGCTAAGGTGGATAGATTGCCTGAGTTCAGAGTTCGAGACTAGCCTGGCCAACATGGCAAAACCCCATCTCTACTAAAAACACAAAAAATTAGCCAGGCATAGTGTCATGCACCTGTAATCCCAGATACTCAGGAAGTTGCACAAGAATCGCTTGAACCTGGGAGGTGGAGATTGCAGTGAGCCAAGATCACATCACTGTACACCAGCCTGGGGGACAGAATGAGACTCTATCTCAAAAAAAGAAAAACAACACACATCTTTAATAACCCAGAATTTAGTCTGGGCAATATCAACATGATAAGGCCAGGGCGACATGGAGACCAAAGTGTATAAGACTATGTCTAAGTTTCTGTCTTACTTGAGTGGAGATATGAATCTCCATTATTTTTCTAATAGACAAAGGTCAAAGATTTTATGTTAATCTTTATAAAATCTGTTAATAAGGGAAATAGCAAGATGTTAAAATGGACTCAACTGAGAATTTGAGTAACTCTAATAGATTAAATGAATTAAGCCTTTTATCTGCTTGTCCCAGGCATAAAACAGTAGGGCCAAAATAGAAGTCAAGAACGGGTGGATAATTTTGTCTGACCTCATGAATACTGAATGTCTCATGAATATTGAATACATCATGAATATTGAATGCCTCATCAATACTGAATACCTCTCTGATGCTCCCATTCCCTCTCCACTGTCCACTGGCTTATCTGTCTCACAGGCTACTGGCCTGTCTGTTCATTTCTCTTATTTTCTGGGGATGAGCTGAATACTCTTAAATATTCACAAATAATACTGCAGACACCTTACACTTTGCCAGCTATAGGACTTGTTAGTTTTCCTCATTGTGTTGATTCTTTCCTTCTAGAACTTAAGCATGAACACGTATTGGACCTTTCATTGCT